TTCCCTGTTCATTTTGAAGACAAATTTTGACCACAGACTCTAAAACTGTTAGGAATCTGCTAGATAAGGGATAATGTCTGACATCTTTTGAGTCTTGTTTGATCAGGTCTAATCTAGTTTTTCCATCTCTGTCCTTCCATTCAATTTTTCCATTACTAACTACTTCCACCTACACACATACTCCTTTTTCCCTCTTTTTTTTTTTTTTTTTTTTGACTATGATTATTAAAGCTTGTCTGGAAATTCTGTGTCATTTGGCACCTAAACACCTTCCATTCTTGAAAATCTCAATCTGGACATGAATTAGTTTTGCTTAAACTCTCCATTTATTCTTATGTTCCTGACTTCAAAGTCATGTCATGTAATTAGGGACGGTGCTGATGTCCCCTCTCCAGTGACCAGTGACAGGACACGAGGAGACAGAATGAAGCTGCATGAGGGGAAAGTCAGGCTGGACATTAGGAAAGGTTCTTCACCGAGAGGGCGGTCGGTCCCTGCAACAGTCTCCCAGGGAAGCGGTCACGGCACCAAGCCTGCCAGAACCCAAGGAGCGCCTGGCCAATGCTCTGAGTCATATGGTTTAGTTGCAGGTGGTCCTGCAAGGAGCAGGGAACTGGACTCGTTGATCCTGGTGGGTCCCTTCCAACTATTACATATCATATATATTTTGTGATTCTATGAACATATACAGTTCACTTGAACCCAACGAAATTTCTCTCTTGGCTACTTTCTCCAAGAATTAGTATGAGTTCATTATCACCCCACTTAGGTGCCACTGTTCAAGAAAATCTGCACAACCTGCACAACTTATAAGTTCTTGAAGCTGCTAATAATGATAAAAGTGTATCAATCATTGCTGCGCAAAGCTGCTTTCTCTAGACAATTCTATATTTTTAATTAAAGCTAAAAACATTTTCCTAGTTTGGATAATTCTAAATATACAGAGGAACAACACACTTGTGTTTAAGTATTGTTTCTTTAACTTTCAGAAATAAAAGGTGTAAAACTTGTAAAGTGTAAAACTTATAAATAAAAGGTGTAGAACTTGTAAAACAAGGTAGGTTATGCATATCCAAGACATCAGTTGTTCCAATATGTTCAAAGTTTTCAGGTATTCAGAGATAGCCCAGTTTCACAGTTACATATATCAGGACAGTTAGTAAGTGTTGATGGAATACCACAGGACAATGATAATTACAAAGTGTATAGTTACAACCAGTCTGTTCTCTAGCAGCAGACATATTTACAGACACAAATCCCAGAAGGACAGAAAGAGTACGTGGTTTGGAAGGAAAGAAGCAGCAGCATCTACTGTAGCAACCTACAGAACCTACTTTACGTTCACACCATATATACATACATGCACATACACTCATATTGCCATATTCTTGGCTCCGGAGGACAAAATTGGCTTTCCCTCTTCCATCAACCACAACTGTTTACACATCACAATGCTTTTCCTGTTTTTCTTCCACGAATTTAGGAACACAGCCTGTCTCTAAACAGCCAACACCTTATGCCTTCCCTTATTAGTAACAGTAGCCTTAAAAACAGGTCGCGCTAGGTACTGAAAGATCACAAATCCCACACGAGTCCCTTCAGCTGAGATCGTTTTACCACACTGAAACTATTCCCTAAGGTAACTCTGCGGAGTGAAACGATTTTTTGCTTCAACATAATTTATGTTAAGTGTCACCCAGAAAGAGCGTTTCTTCTTAAACATCGAAAATTTTCAGAAAAATACTGGATGCTACTTTATCTTTGTGTGAAGCTCTAAGAATTTGAATTTTAAGATTTCCCAGCCTGAAAAGAACGGTGAGAGGTCGCAAACCCCAAACCAGTCCATTATCTTTGAAATATCTGGCAGGGATTTTATCTAAACATGTTCCAAGCAAAAAACAAAACATAAGGCAAACTGAGGTCACTGTTCTCTCAAATAATCAGACACCTAGTCTTTCACCAGGCTTCAGACCAAAGGACTTGGCAAGGTGTGGGGAGAAGGCAAGCACAGTTGCTCTACAAAGGACAAAATGCAGCTTGGGGGTTTAGTGCCGGAGGGAACACAGCTTGAGGAAGGGATGGGCACGGGGCTGGGCAGAGGCCACTCCAGCCAGGAGCCAGGCAGGGCCTGGGGGAGCCAGTGTGGGGGCAGGGCCTCTCTTCCAGGCCCCACAGTCTCTCAGGTGTTTGCCCACAAGTCCCGACACCCCCGTTCCTTGCAAACCAGCTCCCAGCATGGAGTATGTAGGGTATAAGACAAGAAAAACGCTTGAAAGCCGCTAGAGATGTCTTCTGCTCCCTCACACATTTCATGGCAAAATCAAGTTGGAGGGGGATAATAAATAAATTTAAAAAACCCACTAAAAATCTTCCAGGTCCTCTTTTCCTCAGAGAAGCGGACATCACCCCCTTCTCTTAACATCTGTGGCAGCTTCTATTTTACCAGCTTGGTATTAACAGAAACACACCTCTTCCATCTCAACCGCTGATAAGAAAGGTCAAAACCAGATTTTGTTGTATATTTAAAGAAAGAGTGGATAACGATTTCTGGGAAAAAAGTCATTGCATATACATCTAGCTTTCAAAACAGATACAGCTAAAGTAAGCTGCAGCAGTGCCTGAAGCCCAGGAATAAAAAAAGATACCACTTCCTTTATCAAATGAGTCAGCACACAACCATTTTGGGGTTTTGTTTTGTTTAGGTTTTTTGGTTTATTTTTTTTGTTTGTTTGGTTGGTTTTTTTTACAAGAGACATCTTGAAAGCTGGATGACATCTCCTTCACTATGAAGGGCTGACCCACCTGCCCACTTGACTAGTTATGAAGAAAGCAACCAAGAAAGCAACACAGAGCCATAGCTGGGTATTGAAACAGAGAAGTAAGGGCAGGACCAAGCAAGCAAAGGATCTGAAGAAGGGAACTTATCAACCCACAGCCATTCTTCAGTCCCAAAACTGACAACATGGGAAGTGTTGTATTTCACTTAAAACATGAAGCACCATCTCCTCTCCTCTCAGAGGTTATATGGTTAACTACCGTAATACTTTTGGTACTGTTAACATAGCTGTTCCTTAGATGAAAAATTGTATCTGACTATGGACTATGCAGGAATAAATGACAATACATATCTAACCAAAACATTAAGAGATTTCTTCTAAAAATCAACCATTTCGGGAAGCAAACACAATTTTGCCTTTTAGCTTTTACTTTGTTGTATTTGATCTGTTTGGCAACTGTTTCATAAGACATAACATAAACAGCAAAAGCATCTGTGTCTGTAAGCAGACAGCTACTTAAAGTACCCCAGTAAATGGCACTTTTTACTGTTGTTGTTTTAAGTATTTCAGTGGGACACAGGCACTAACAGAATGAACACTATGTGACTTGAAAAGGGGAAAATGTCTTTAGTCAATTATTCTTTTAAAATACTCAAGCTAACAAAGTCCAGAATATTGTGTAAGCTCATGACATATTACTCCAATGGACACTGAGGTATTAGCTTTCCCAGGCAGGTAAAGAGATGGAGAAAGCTGGAGAAGCAACATAGTGAAATACAGCATAACTACACAACATAAAAATACTTCGCAGTTTTGTGGGGTGGTAGCAAGATTTTGTTAAAAATAAAAGGAAAACTTACTATTTTCCCCTCATAACATGGAAGCTATTTAGCACTTCTCAAGTTCACGAAGTGAGCTATTTAAAGTTGGACAAAAAATTGCAGCAGCAGTCTCATTCCTCTAACCAAAGGTATGCAGTTTCAAAATAATCTAGCTGTACTCAGTTGTATTTCTAGGTGTTAAGTAATCTAATATATGTAAAAAGCCACCAATACAGATGTATTTATTGATAAAAAAATATGGTTTTGGTTTTAAAAAACCTCGCTGCCTTTCAGCGTTTGTTTCAGTTCGCTTATGGGCAAGACCGATTTGGCAGTGAGGCCCGAGAGCACTGTTCCATGGGGGCAGCGGAGGGACAGGCCAAGGACTCTC